GTGATTTATTAAATGATATTTAGTAACAAAAAGTAGTCATTGTTAAAAGAGTAATATTTACTAAAGTTTTGATTTTAAAGAGTAGCTTAACATTGTTTTCTCTTAAGCTTTATTTATTAAATAAATGTAATGCTAACATTTTGTTAGAGTTGTTCTTTAATAATATTGATCTAAATAGTCCAATCAAAAGGCTGCATTATCAGCTGAGATCTATCTAGAGAAATAATGCTAAGACTATCTAGAGAAATAATGCTTAATTGGGTTTTTAAACTTTTTTGAGAAGCACTTTTTTATTTATTGTTTTAAGTAAAAATTTGTGTTTACTTTTAAAAGATGTATTGATAGTTTCGAAAAAATTTATTATGAAAAAAAAGAATGTATTTTCATAATTAAAACAGAAATATTATTTTGTGCAACTGGACCATAATTGGTAATATCTAAAATAAATCGCTTTTACAACGGTATATGGTTTGAAGGAAACCCATCAGTTGTATCATTTCATTCCATTATGCGACCAGTGAAGGTCGCATAATGGAATGAAAGGTGAAAAACTGATAAAGATATACGTTAAATTTAAAACTTGATCAAAATCAAAAGTACTCTATTCAGAATACCAAAATAAAGTATTTCAAAAAATGGGTTCTAAATGAGGTTGAAATCAAAGAGGTTAATAAGAGGCATTGATAGAAGGCATACAGGAATCAGAACTTTCTTAAAAATAAAAAACAGCAAATCAGCCAATTCCGAAAGTCCCTCCAGAAATTGCAAAGAAAAAACCATCAATGAAATCAAACGTATTTTATTACCAATAACGATTAATGCTGTTGCAAACTCATTTAATTGGCGCCCTCTTACCAGAACCATTCTGGAAATGACATAACCTAATATTTTTATAAAAACATTCAAAAACAAATCATTTGGTAAAAAGTCATGGTTTGACAAAGCACCTATAAATGTGTTTCCATAACTTAGCAACTTTTAAATAACAGAAACATAATCTCCAAAGTTTATAAGAAGGACTGTCTAAAAAAAAACACTTTTCACTACGATCCGCTAGAATGATAATCACCCTGTCACTCAGCCTAACCTTGCTTTTAGTCAACAATTACAATTGATTGGTGTTAAGAAAATTGTGTTGAGTTTATTCAGAAAAAAAGGAATTCCTTCATTGTGCCAAACTTCTTTCAAATTAAAATGGTTTATACGATCCTGAGATGATGATAACATATTACGTTCAAAAGCAATTTAGTCCACCTATTTTTTTGGATTGCATTATAAAACTTTCTAAAAGCTTATACAAGGAGTTTATTATGTTGAAAAAACATTGCAATCAGCTCATGGATGTAAAGATTTTTAAAAGTTTATCTGTATTTACTTAAAATTATTTGTATTTATTTAAATGTTTAACTGTAAAATAAATTATTTGAAAATAAAAAATTATTCTCTAAAGTTAAATGAATTACTCTCTAAGTATTGAATATATATATATATATATATATATATATATATATATATATATATATATATATATATATATATATATATATATATATATATATATATATATATATCTTATACTGCTGAGTTAAGTCAGCATGCTGACATCATACTGAAATAGCCTGCTGCGGGGGCTTCAGTGCATACATCGACTGACAAATAGCCTGACTCGCAGTGAAGTGCTGCCACATATACTGAGGGTTTGGCATGGGTCAGCAACCTTTCCATTCATTATTCTTTGTTTTCCTATGTCATTTTCGCAAAATGCTATATTTATATATATATATATATATATATATATATATATATATATATATATATATATATATATATATATATATATATATATATATAAAATAAATCAACAATAAGTAAGGCATAAACGCATAATGCAAACTTTATCAAACAAGCAAGCTTTAAAAGAAAACAAATTTTAGCTAATATCTATGAAAATTGTATTTTCAAACTGCATTATATAATTTTTTTTAGTCATGATTAGATTTTGTATATATTGCTTTTTCAAAGAAAGAAGCATCACCACTATGTTTATTTCATACTTTTTCAATAGCAGGCAAATAAATTAGACAAAGATTTGATGCATTGGAAAATGTATTATTTTTTTTAAATCATCTCTCTTATCTCTACAGGCCATTATTTTTTTATTTTCGCTAATTCTGTTCACGATTAAGGCCCAGCTATATTTGCTAAAACATCGTTTATATATTTGCTAAAACAACATATTAGATTCAAATAAAACGAGAAACAAATTAATGAGGTTTTACATATATATACACACATTTGGTCTAAAAAAAACAAAAACCTATTACTTAAAAACTTTTTTTCCAATGCAAAAAGTATGGTTTAATAAAGTATTTTTCTGGCTTTGCTCCATTAACAGCTTTTCTGGAAAGTCTGTCTCTCAGTGTTGTACTTACAACATTGCACTATTTGCTACTTTACGCACTGAAAATGATGGCTCTGATCTGACATGCTTAATTGCGCTTATTATATTTCGTTCACTACATTTTAAGAATTTGCCCAGTTTCTTAATAGTGAATTATTGTTCAATGGAATGATTGGAACCATTGACACGTGTTAAAGAAACACCAATTGTTGGTAGCTGTTTAATTTGACAAATGTCAAAAATACTACTGCTACCAGATGTTGAAGGAGTGATACCATCATGAAAATGAGTTGTGTTATAACATATAGTAGGCTCTGTTACAGAAGCAATTTTTCCAACCGACATCCGGTAAAAACTTGGTAATGATTTACATCCCCCACCTTTTGTTTCAACAATGTTTTTTTTTTTAAGATAATACCTAGATAAATTACATTGAAGTATGAATGTCATATTAATTTAATAAAGTGTTACAAATTTTCAAGAGCTACAAATATAACCACGTAGTGAAAACCATTTGTTAGTATTTGTAACCTAATCCCAAACCTAGAACTTAGCATTACCTAATTTACAATAAAGTAAATAAGCATTTAGCTGAGTAGTTACAAAAATCTATTAAAGAAGAACAAAAACATTCTTATTATGCATAAAATAAGTGGACTTTTTGAACCTAACGTAGTGAACCTAATAATTTAGTTATTTTAATAACTAAAACAATGTTTCTTAAATTAAAAATAAATAAAACAATGGTAAATTAAATATGCATTGTTTCTAAACACTAAAAAATTATTAAAAAAAAATAAACATAGCATAAAAAGATAAAATTCCAAAATCTTTCTTACCAATAATTATCAGGAAAAGAAAATGCAATAGCAGGTAAAGTTTACTTATTTGCGATACTTTCTTTGTTCTTTATCTATTTGGTTTTGATGAACATGAGCTTTTTATACAATTGCTCAATGCAGAGCCATAGCAATTTATTTTTTAACTAATTTCCCTAATAACAATACACAGAGGAAGAGTGTTGTTTTGAAGGTAATCAAAAATAAATAAACGCGGATATTATCAATTTTATCTCAAAGAAGTTATCAAGTAAGTTTGAGGTTTATTTTTACGATAATGCCAAAGAGGTTGAATTTAAGGTAAATAATTTAAAAAAATAATTTCCTCAGTAATATATATAATAAAAATACGTAAAAAATACTTCTTTGTAAGCATTCAAAAAGATAATCTTCTTAATATGTATCCTTACGAAGTTTTACAATTTTGTTTTTCAATTATTTTTAAAATATGTCATCCCAATTTAATAAAAAAATAATGTGGGTCACAGCAAAAGATTTTTTTTTTGTTAAAACTGCTGGTAGCGTAAGTCTTAATATATTATGCCACATCTATTCTCACCCACCTGGGTGAGATTAAATGCATTGGGCGACAATATATATATTTTTTCGGCGAGATCGAGTTAATTTGGTAGGTTGAGTAGAAAACAATTTTATGCATATTCTACCATTTCAAACAATTATAAGTGTTATTACAATCAGAGATTAAACAGTGGAGAACAAAATTTTATGATTATTTATTTAGCATTCATAATAAGTAATTAACTCAATTGATTTGCATCAGCTGAATTGAATTCAACATATTAAGTAGCAAAATAATTACCAAAAACCAACAAATTTTCTTCAAGAAATACTTTTTTGTTTGCGATTCTTTTGAGGTCATAGTTGTTTTGATGTTGATAAAACTGGTTTGCTGCTCTAAAAGAACGTTTTTTTGATGGTGCAGCGTGTAAGTTAACTGACATATAAGCAACTAAAGATGGTGGGCGAGATGGGCGAAATTATGTAAAGTTATCCTAGCAGATTTAATAATATTCATATCATTAACCTAAACATAAACGCAATAAATACATAAACTCAAAGAATAACTAACGTTAGTGAGTTTATTTAGTATTATATAAAAAACTGTTTTCAAATGACTTTAGTTCAGTTTTTAAAAAACTGTTTACAAATAACTTTAGTTTAGTTTTTAAAAAACTGTTTACAAATAACTTTAGTTTAGTTTTTAAAAAACTGTTTACAAATAAGTTTAGTTTAGTTTTTAAAAAACTGTTTACAAATAAGTTTAGTTTAGTTTTTAAAAAACTGTTTACAAATAACTTTAGTTTAGTTTTTAAAAAACTGTTTACAAATAACTTTAGTTTAACAGTTTTTTAAAAACTAAACTAAATTTATTTGTAAACAGTTTTTTAAAAACTAAACTAAACTTATTTGTAAACAGTTTTTTAAAAACTAAACTAAACTTATTTGTAAACAGTTTTTTAAAAAACTGTTTACAAATATTTAGTTTAGTTTTTAAAAAACTGATTAAACTACAAGAGCACTGCTTATAACAATAAAAAAATGTTTTTTCCCTTGCATAGTGGGCCACGTATGAAACATGGTGGACAAAACTATTTTTGTCTGTTTTTTTTTACCGAAACCCTTTAAATGTGCAAAGTATCTCTTGTTATTGAGATATATTTACTTTTATTATAAGTTTTAGTTAAAAAGTTGCTTATACTAAAAATAATATAACAAACTTTATAAACACGGGTTTATAA